GTTGTATTTTGTTTGGTGCCAATTCATGCACGATCCATACATTTTCCATAATGCATGTTTTTGTGACATGCTAACCACATCTTGGTACAGCCACATGCATTAGTAGCCGAGGGGAGCACGTGCATGTTTTTGCTTGCTTTGAATGCCACGAAACACACACAATCACCTACACTAACACGCACACACGTGGGTGCCACGCACACAACTCATGCTAGGCCATCATACATCTGCAAGAGTACTCACTGCATTAGGAATACTCTATGCTCATGCATTTGCCACATTTTCCATGATACCATGCTCATGCATAAGCAATATCCACACACGTACCATGCTCATGCATACTCTATGCTCATGCATTTGCCACTTTTGCCATGATACCATGCTCATGCATATGTCATATCCACATACATATAATGCTCATGCATTTGCCATTGCTCATGTATATGCCATACCCATTTACGTGTCATGCCCATGCATTTGCCATGATCATGCTTTTGCCATGCTCATGCATGCGCTACATACCATGCCCATGCATGTGCTATGACCATGCATGAGTTCCGTAATCCGCACTACTATTTCATCCTTTTCAAAACAATGTGAGCATTTCGTAAAACCTTTTAACTAATGTGCATGGTCTTTTGAAAAGGATTTTCACATGGATCTTTTCGAGTCAAAGTGAAGTGCATTCTTCAGAGAGCTCAAGAGCTCAGATTGGAATCTACTCACTCCTTTTTGGTTAAGGGACGTCAGGACTTGTTTGAACATCCACATGTTGCCTGAATTCATCAGAGCTGCATCACAATGTTGGGATCTAGTCGACAATGTTTTTCGCTTCATCAAGGCAGAAATGTGTCCGACATTTGAAGAGTTCAGTGCAATTCTTGGTCTACCCAGCGACCGAGGGACAAGGATAGCCATTCCGATTTTCAATTTTGGGACTCCAAAGCAGATGGCCTCTTATCCAGGGTTATCCGATCAAGAGCTCAGAAATCTCTACAAGGACAAGACGACAGTGGGCTTTGATCTGAGGAAAGTTCTGCATTGGGCCGAAGCTCATAGTCATTCTCACCCCACTTGGCCTTACTTTGTGAGCCTCCTGATTATGCATCAACTCATCAGTTTACCTTACACCTCTTGTCCCTTACGTCTTATATCCCTAATTTCCCAAATGGCCGAGGCGCCTCTCCCGTGATCGTCTTAATAGCCAAAACCTTGATTAGCCTCACCAGAAATTCCCAAACCTACGACATTTTAGTCGATTGCCATCTCGCCCTACTCCAAATTTGGCTCCTAGAAAAGCTAGCCCTAATCCATTCACCAAAACAAAATCCGACCAAATATCGGCTCTATAACTTTCTTGAGAGACCTTTCACCATCCAGGACATACGAGTTAGGGTAAGGATGAATGGCTCGAATGGCTTATGAATCCAGAAGGCGTAGAGATTCTTTGGGTCATACCTTGGTGGAAGATCGGAGATATCAGAATGAACATGTGTGAAGGAGGCGTTCAACTCCTTGGGCTCACCAACGCCACCTTCTACTCACCGTATCGCCTGAGGAGGCAGTTTGGCCTGTTTCAAGATGTTCTGACTCTGGTATCTTTAAAGCTCGAGGGTGAATATACATCAGCTTGGCCCGAAGTGATCAAGACCCGTTTGGAGCGCATCTGGGATTACGACAAAATGTGTTTTGATAAATGTCAAAATCTTGTTGTTAATAAAAAGTATTTAGACTGGTTTTGCCGTGTCGGCACTTTTTCTAATCGTACTGCTAGGGATAATTTTACCCGGGAGTATTTATATCAATATGAATGTAATCATTAAAGATTTAATGAAATTGGCTTTGCTTTTTTTTCTTGCAATTAATTTTTGGAGTTCAAACTCGATCTTTTAAAAACAACATCCTTATTTACAAACCCGTCATCCACATGACATCTTCGACATTCATATGCCATATAACGACATTCATATGCCATGTATTGTCATTCATATGCCATATATCGACATTCATATGC